TCAAAGAGGTTATCTTATTTGCCCAGGGTCAATTCTGAGTGGTGTCCTAGATTTAACAAGTGACACATTTAACAACTGGCTCTCCGAGAAAGAAAAATATAGACTACACACTTCTGAGTTTAATCTGCATTATTAATATTTTCTCCATCACTTTCTTAAGTCTAGACAATCATCAGAAAATAAATCAAGATCTGATTTGTAGCATTTGCTGATTTCCTAAGTGTCAATGCTCATACTGAATATTTAACAATTGGCTGAATTAGAACTGTTTCTAGCATACTGCTGGGAAAGTTCCATAGACTCCAAATTCAATGTTCTTTCCATGGGAAGAAACATATTAGAATCCCTGAAAGTTCTTAGAAAAGTACTAAAAAGTTCTTCCAAGATGGCTCTTAGAAGGAATTGGGAACATCTAATCAGGATACTTTCTTGGGGAAAGAGAAGGTATATTTGCTAGTGGCTTTTACCCCAGTGGTCTTCATTTTCTTCCATTACTGGGAGGGAGCTAGAGATAGGTGTAAGGCCAGCTAAGAAACTTCCGAAAATAGGCACTCACTGCTGCCCAAACATCCTGGTGCTATAGACAGTCACTTGTCCTTTTGTGAGAACAAAACATGAACACAAACAGGTATAGAAGAAAACTATAGTTTTCTATATATAGTTTGGGGCAGGATTGCATAGGAAATATTAAGTGCCATGATGAAAATCGCTAGATATAACTTTAACCTGGCACCTGGAGTTTGTTTGACAGAGCATCAGAATTGATGGGACCGTAGAGATCCATTCGAGCTTTCCCACTTATGAGGTGAGCAAATATAATTCTATACAAATGAGTCACAGTAGGTTGGCAGCCCATGATAATATACTCCATTTCTTTATAAGCACTAGATTTTATTCATTTAATAAAAATCTTGCAATACTATGATTTTTCTGTCCCGGGTCACATACACCAAAAAAGTAAATAGTACAAGTTATTTCTAGAGTAGGATTTTATTTTGCTCTGCAATCTTAAAAGATTCCATTAGGACCACCAGAAAATCAATTCCTTCATCCTAAACATGATGTCAACTCTAGTTTCTCATTTTTTTTTGTTTCCTAAACAATAACAGAGACAGCATGGCACAGGAGGTAGAGAGAGTCAGCCTTGAGGTCAGGAAGATTTGGGTTCAGGTCCTCAGACACATACTAGCCATGTGACCATGACTATGTCACTTAACCTCTTAACACCCCAGCAATTCATGAGGACAGTAAAAGCACAAATGACTGTATTCCACTTCAGTGGAGGGTATTTTCACACTGAGAATTCCCAACCCTGATGAAATCACAAGTTGGGACCTAAAAATAAGAATAAAAAACCCCTAATATTAACAACATTAACACTGAACTTCAAAGCCTTCAAAACACTTTACATACATTATGTCATTTGAGTGAATTTGATGAAGTCTAATCACTATTTCCTTTGCTTGTGTATCTCTACAGGTTCCCATCCAGCTTCAAAACAAGGAGAATATTTCATCAGGGGTTAGGAGCATCTTTTTTTATATAACAGTCATTGGTTATTTATTTATCTATATCATTTCTAGCAAGCAGAGAAAGCCAGGATTGCCAAAAAATTCGGTCAATTCGGAAATAGTCATGGTTCAGGTTCTGAGTACTCAATTCCTATTCAAGAAAATTTACTGGCTCAGAAAGACTTTGCAGAAGAGATGCTAAAGTGAGGAAGCATTTTGTACTCTCCATGGTGGACAGGTGGAGCAAAGACTGATACAATATCTTAATTGCCAAATCTAATGACCTTTTCTCAATCCTCATCCTCCTTGACGTCTCTGCAGCATTTGAACACTGTTCATTCATCTTCTCTGCTGGGATACTCTTCTCTCTGGGTTTCAGTTACACTGCTTTCCATGGTTCTCTTACTACCTGTCTTGTCACTTGTTTCCAGGTTCCTTTCCTAGATCTTCATACATGTAGGCCCATTAAATACAGATGTCCCTCAGTGCTCTGTCTTGAACCTTCTTTTCTCTCTATGCAATCTCATCAGCTTGGGTAGGTTGAATTATCATCTCTCTGCAGGTGACTCCCAGATCTATTTGACCCCAGTATCTTCCTCTGCTGAACTCTAGTCCTTAATCAATTGCCTTTTGGACATTTTTAACTGGATAGAACTGTATGTCCTATAGATATCTCAAACATCACATGTTCAAAACAGATCTCATTGTATTTCTTCTGAAACTTCTGAACTTTCCTATTACTGTCAAGGGCACCACAACTTTCCTAATCACCCAGGCTTGAAACCCTTGGCATCATTCTCCACGTCTCAATCTCTCTTATTCACCAAGTCTTATTATTTCTACCTTCACAGCAGCTCTCACATATGTCTTCTCTCTACTCACACAGCTATCACCCCAATTTCACACACCTCATTATACCTCTAGCCTGGACTATTGTAATATAGTCTTCTAATTGGTCTCTGTGACTATTTTCTTCCCATTCCAATTCATCCTGCCATAGTGGCTTCCATTGCTGCCAAGGTGTTTTTCCTAAAGTGCAAGACTGATCATGTTCAATGAACTCCCGTTGCTTCTAGGATCAAATATAAAATCCCTTTTTTTGGGTGGGGGGTAGGGGGAAGGGAGCATTTTAAACTCTTCCCAACCTGGATCTTTCCTGTTTCCAGTCTTCTAACACTACCATACAGCCACACTGGCTTATTTGCTGTTCCTGGGGCACAACACTCAATGTCCTGTCCTTGTGCCTTTGCACTGGGTGTGCCCAAGCCTGTGATGCTCTCCCTCTTCACTTCCACTTCCAAGAATTTCTAGCTTCCTTTAAGACTCAGTTCAAAGTCCACCTTCAATGGGAGGATTTCCTGGTCTCTCCTCCTAGAGCCTAAGGTTACCACCATTTACTTATTTATATACATATTGTCTCCCCTATTATAACACAAACTCATTGTGGGCAGGGACTGTTTTTTGCCTCTCTTTGTATCCTCAGCATTAAGAACAGGATCGGATACCTAGTAGGTGCTTAATAGTAACTGATAATCCCTTGGTACTTTTCTCTACAGATCCACTAACTGCAACTGAAGAGGCACTTTTCTTTCTAAGGAAGAAAATTTAGGTAGGGTTCTCCTACCACACCATTCATAAAATTCTCTGCTGTTTCATGGGTCTCCTGTTTCATCACTATTGCTCTCTTTAATTGTCAGTATCTCTGAAAGTTATATGCCCATGAAGGTGTCTGCCTTAGTTTATAATTTGTTATGGCTAAGTCTGTATCTGTTAAATTCTATACTTTTCACCATGCTCCTAACGAAATGCTGTTTAGAGTTTCTGGACGTGGATCAATAGTTTTATCTTTCCTACATACTTGATATTGACCCAAGTATGGTCTAGCTCAGTATTTTCAAACTCAAATTATGTTTGCCTTAATTAATCTATTTTATATTATTCCTTCCTAAGAGTCTGTTAGTCCAATCATGTATTCCTCAGAACAAAGGACAATATATAATGCCTTGCTAAACTGTAGGCAGATTCCTCCAAAATGAGTATTTGGGATCACTGGTTTAGCCAATGGAAAAACCCATATATCATGACTTTGGACCTTTACTAAGCTTGAAGCATTGAGAAAGTTCTAATTCTTATTCCTCTGGTTGTCAGTATGTTATTTGCACTGAGTTGATAACAGCTGAATATTATTTTTTGGCTTCATGATGAGCAGAGGGACTGCCAGTGTCTGCCTGTAACCAGCTCTGTAACCACTGCTGGGGTGGACTGCTTCAATGTATGGAACCAGTCAGGGGCTCTTTCCTGCCTCCAGCTGCCTTTGAAGTCCAGGGGAGGGGATGACTGGAAGAAATGACTATAGTCCTGGGTTTGTTTACAGAACTGCAAATCAGTGCTTCTGTTGGGATCTGGCACTTGGTTCCTTGAAGTGAGAGCCTAATCCTTGAGCTCCCATGGAGACAGATGAATTGGAGAGAGATGAATTGAAAGGGACTTGTACTTCTAAAATCTGTTTTATATAGTCCAGCATTGTGTTGATGGTGCTAGTCTATCAGGCATAATTCCTTACTATATGGTTTTTCTATACACTCCACCATCTATTTATTTATGATACAAGGTGAAATCAAGCAAAAGAGTAGGAAATGAGTAATAGAAAAATGGGAGAAAAACCAATGCTATTATTTGAGCTCAGAGTTATGTCCACACTGAATGGCCACAGGACAACACTTTTGGCTACAAATCTAAAGTATGTCACTCTCTGTATCTAGGCTACTCAGAATGTGTGCCAATTCCAGTCAATTTGTCCTATGCCCCTGGCCTCCAATTCTTTGGGTATGGTGGCCAGATTCTTCCTCTCAGAAGCTTATTAGGCTGGTGTTTGATAGAATTCCCCATTCCTGGCCTGCCAGAGGATTGGAAGTAAAGATAGTGTTTGATTTTGTAATAGAACTAGATTTGAAAACTGACAAAAAGAGGAAAGTCAAAGTCCCAAACCAGATATACTTGAAAACAACTGCTCCCCTGCCTTTCCCCTTATTATTCATTATAAAAATATTAATAATATTATAACTATAATAAAGTATTATATAATATCATGTGTTATATAATATTATATACTATATTATATAAAAATATAAATATAATTAAGAATATAACAATAGTTTCTAAGATTCATTCAACCAAGCAGCCTTGTGAGGAAGATTAGTAAGTATTATCCATGTTATATCTTTGCATTAGTAAGTGTTATCCTTTACTAAGTAGAAGCTTAAGGCCCAGAGAGGTTAATTGCCCCTCCCAAAGTCACACAGCAAGTTAGTCACAGAGGCAAGATTAGAGCTCTGAGTCCCAGCTTGTTACTCAGCTCAAAACAGAGTCCTTCATCCACCACATCCCATTGCACTAGCCAAAAGGTTGTCTGGTCAGCTGGGGCAATATGCCTAAGGAGAGTCACTACAATTGGGCTGCTGAAGAGGGCAGAGAGATTTGAATACTCACAAGTAGAAACCTGCAGAATCCTTCTGTGTACCATCAGACAGCAACACTTCTGTGCTGGAACAGACAGAAATAATACTCTAGTCGAGGTGACACTGCACAGGTGGAGGCCTAGCTCTCAACTCTTGAACCTGGCTTTGAGACTTTAACTAAGTCGGTAGCATAGTTGTTGAATCGGGGCATTCCACAGGAATGTATACCTTTTCCACCAAGAGCAATATCTGTTATGATAGTTCATGGTGAGGGAAGCTCTAATGTTGTAGTTGGAAATTTCAACTACCAAGCTGGAGACCTTTGTACCAATGCTGACTCTGCAATTAACTCTGAGAAAGACATTAAATATCTCATGTTTGAATTTTTCCTTCTATTAACTGGAATCAGACCACTCCCTTTCTCTTTCACACAGATATGAAAACACGTTTGAGTTTTTCATCAAAAGACATGAACATAGCTGTTAGAAAGAGAATTACATGTCTTTAGTCTTTTGGAAGGCACATGGGATTTGGATTCAAAGGACCTATATTTGAATCCTGGTTCTGCATTTCGTGTGTGACTCAAAACAAATCTTAGCCTCCATTTTCTTCTCTGTCAAGTGAGGATGTTGGCTTATTTGGACCAGTAGTTCTCAAACTTTTTTGTCTCAGGATCCCTTCACACTCTTAAAAATTATCAAAGACCCTAAAGAACTTTTGTTTATGTGAGGTGTATCTATTGATAATTACTGTATGAGGAATTAAAATGGCTTAGTATTATTATGAAAATAATTTGACCTCGTGGATTCCCTGAAAGAGTCTTGGGGACCACAAGTAGTTTGGAGATCACACTTTTGAGAACCATTGATTTAGAAAATTCTTAAAGTTCCTTCCAACTCTAAATCCTATGTTTTTTTTTTTACTTCACTGATGAGAATAGACCAGATTTTCATTATATATTATGAAATGTACACACACATATGTACACATATTTGCATATGTGTGTATACACACACACATAATATTACATTATGTTTCTTCTTCTCTTGACTCCCTTTTGGGAACAGCTTTGCTTAACCTCTCTGTGCCTCAATGGACCCATTCCTAGAAAAGGCATGAATGAACCATTGTATTTCAGAGGGTTACTTCAGACTGAGCTAACCCTCCTTGGAGATACTCTGATGAAAAAATTCTTGAGAAGCAAATTCCTCACACATCCTACTACATACTCTTCCCACTAAGTCGGCTACTTTTAAGCTCTTAAGAGGAAATTTATTTTGTTTTTAAGAATGCCAATCCTAAATCATCCATCTGACCTCACCTCCCTTCCCCCTTCCACCCACACATCTTCCAAAACCAATGAAGAAGCTAAATGAAGCTTCCTTTAAAATCACAGAACTGTAGGACTAGAGAACATCTCTTCCAACTCTCATTTTTCAGATGAGGAAGTTAAGGCCCAGTGTTACACAGTGATTTGCTTAAGGTCACACAGCAAGTTAGTGGCAAAGTTGGGACCAGAATTCAGATCTTGTCAGCATCACCTGTTGATTGTTCTTTCCACACCACGCTGCCCCTTGCCTGCCCCCTTTCTCAGGCTCCTACTACCACAGCCAATGCTCTTTGAAATAACCATCCTTCTCTCTTTGAGAAAAAGCCTCCCCTTTCCCCTGAAAGAACATTACATGCATCCACAAAAGTCTGTGGAGAAGCATTTCCCATCATTAAGAGATTTAGAAGAAAATTGGCACAGCTTACTAAACTTTGAAGCTTCTCTCCCCTACCCCCCTCTCCTTCCTGGCCCTTTAATTGTGCTTGGAACTAGTGAAGTTCCCAGAGTCACCCTCCCCTTTAGAATAACGGGAAGATCCCAAAGTAGAATCCCCTCTCCTGACCTTTCTCCACCCTCTCTTAAAGCAACCAAAAGCTGACCCCTCAACATTTCTATTTAGAGGCAATGCTTTGTTAAATCACCGAGGGATCTCCCACACAAAAAAAGCTTCAAAGTCCTAAGAGCTAAGGATCTAGTGCAAAGAATGAAGATTTGGTCTTAACACTATAAAGATACAAAACTTCTGTTGAGGATTTCCGTATATGCACTTTTACCTCTGTCATTAAAAAAAAAATCCTGGTTCCCACAACCTTGCTTCATGGCTGATGTAACTGAATCTGCTAATACACTACATTTCTCTTTTCAGATTTCAGAGAGAGTATGAAAGGGTTGCAGAATTCCTTAACTTTCTACTATTTTAAAGATTATGATATCTATATCATATATAATATATATAACATATATATATATATATATATATTTAAAGGGTACATGAAGGAAAACTGAAATGAGGAGAAAGTTGATGCCTCTTAGAATGAGACGAAAAAAAGAGCCTGTTACTCCTATAACTGAAATGGAGATCAATAGCCTACCTTCACCTTTCCTGTCTTCACCTCTCCTGTCTTCTTTTGAAACCTTCACTAAACATGACTCTTAGCACTCCCAAAAGGAACTATGGGAACGTTAGAGAGTCTTAACTAATATGTCTTCTTAACCTAGTCACGTAACTGAATAGGTACAGCTTCTTGGTAGATGTGTAACTGGATTAAGAAACAGAAGCACATCCATAAAGATATGACATTCTTACAATATACCCATTGCCCGAATTAAAGTCAATTTGTTTCAATTAGGCAGGGCTTCATTTCAAAACATGTTACAATTTTGGTTGCCCCTTGCAGAGGCATTCCAAAACTCAGCCAACAGATAGCAAGCAAGTCATTAACATCTGGCACCAGAAAGAACTCCACAGCTGGAAGAGCAGTAGGAACCAAATTTCTTGATCACATGATATGATTCTACCCAATGAGCTCAAACTAATTGAAACAAGGCTGTAACTCTATGTGTTATAAATATGTAAACATAAGGAGGACAGGAATCTTTTCAAGTTCCTAGTACAGAAGCACAGGACTTAAGTACCACAAATTCCTAAGCTTCTTCTATGAGAACACAAAACAGCAAATCTGAAACACAGAAGCATTTTAAGGACTTCTCAGAACTATTCCCTGGAAAGCTTTACCTCTCTAGGAAGCACAATTTACTTTGTTTATATTTGTGGAATCCATCATTACTCTATTGGAACAAAGTGGGGATGAATCAATGTCAATTTTAGTAAGAAAAACTTTCAAGGCAAAACAGGCTCCAAGTATTCCCTTATACACAACTCATAGTATGTAACTTCACTCATGAAGTCCCAAGAACACATAAACACACACATAGTGGCTCTCTTACAGCAAGGGCAATTTGAAAAGATCAGAATAGACATTCAAGAACAGAACTTCTATTAAAACTGGAACTAAATAGAGCTCCAGCCTTGGAGTCAGGAGGACCCAGTTCAAATCCAGCCTCAGACATGTGACTAGCTGTGTCACCCTGGACAAGTCACTTAATCCCGAATGCCCCACCAAAAAACAAACACACAAAAACATCAACAACAAAAAAACAAAAACAAAAAAACAAAACTGGAGCTAAAGTTACTTTGTGAAACCTAATAATTACAGAATGTATTTTAAGAATATGAAGAAAGAGATAAAGTATTCTGTATGTTGGGACTTTTTGTATTAGGGGGAGGGAATGAAGGATTTAGAAACAAGTCAAGGCATTTAAATGTCTAATAATAATTGCCACAAATAGTAACAATTCCTCCCTACAACTCTTCCATATCTTGTGATAAGTACATTGAGTTGTTTTTAATTTAATTGTTGTTATAAACAGCTGCCTGGTCATTCCATAGCCATTCAGGCTTACCAAGTAAATTGCCCTCAAATCTCTGTGATAAATAGGAGGTTCTGGCAGACTCCAGACAGGGCCAAATCAGGGAGTTCCTACAGCTAGAGTTCCCATAAAGATGGAAGCATTTAGCTCAGGTGAAACTGTTAATTTGACACATTTTCAAGGTGAAATGATACTACCTGTCAGGAATACTGTGAGGAATTAAACATCTGCCAGATGTCCCAAGTTCCACAGAGGAAAGGTGTAAATAAATAGACCATTATTGTTGTAAAAAAGAACAATGATAAGAATAGCTGGCGATTCTATAGCCTTTTAAGGTTTGCAAAGTGCTTTACAATATGTTACTTCATTTAATTACAGAGTAATCTGGAGATCTGTATTCCAAATCAGATTATATATTATTTATGTTTATACATGTGGGTATATACACATGTGTATATATACAAACATGCAGACATACATATATGTATATTTATACATACACAGATACATATACACATATATTCATACACACACACACACACACACACACACACACCTGAGATGACTCAGGTTTCACAGATTAGCAATTAAAATATAACATCATTTAAGTTACTGCAAGCCAAGATATAGCAAGGAAAGGAAATCCTAAAAACTCCAAACTATGGTGTCATGTTAGTTAAAACTAAAATCTTTTTTAAGATAACTAGTTGTGTTGCCTAGACAGTCTCTAAACGATTTTCTTAGTGCCTTTGGAAGTACTTTATGTTCACAGCAGAAAAAAAATATTGTGTGACTATATATATATATATATATATATATATATATATATATACACACACACACACATATACACACACACATATACATACAGACATCAAATATATACACACATACACATACATACAGACATATATATCTATATCTATATATATGTATATCTATATATATCTTTAAGAATGTTTAGTTATCTAGTCAGGGGTCAGGCAAGAGCCATTAGTAGGAAATCCTGACAATATTTGGGCATTCTTAAGAGAAACCACAAATATTTTCCTGTGCTCTAACTTAGAAACAAATATGTTGAATTTTAAAAGAGTTTTCAAGCAAGGACTTGAAAACCTCCGACAAATTCTTGCTTGTTTTCCTTTGTCAGCTGGGTGGTGGCAAACTTTTTTCTTTACAGGTAGGAAAGAGGCCTAGAAAGAAGTTTGGTGACTGGTAAAAAGGGCAAAAATAGGTCATGGAATTTAGAGTTCAAAGAGACTTTGGAGATCAGCTAGTCTAATCTTCCTATTCTATGGATCAAGAAAACTGGGGCGCAGAAAAGTTAAGTGACTTATCTACAGTCACATAGGCTGTAAGTAACAGAGATAGGAGGTGAACCCAGGTTTTCTGATTCCAAATCCAGTGGGGTTTTTTCTCTCACTACAACATCCTGGTTGCCTGAGGCACTAGCATAAAAGAGCTGGATGGGGGCATATGGATATAAGGCCACTAAGAAAGCTAACAGAAAGAAGACATAGATTATCAAAGCACAGCAAGGCAAATACTTCCATCTATTCATTAAATCCAAGAACAGAAGCTAATACTCTATTCTCACTTGGTTTTTTGATCTATTGAATCTTCATCTATTTCTAAGACAAAAAACAATTGCCTTTCTACCAATCTTTGGAAGGAACCTATCTATGACTTCAGATGCTCTTACTCTTTGATGTTCCCTACAGACCCCAACACCAGATGAAAACAGGCAGTTTGTAGTGGTGTAGGGTGAGAGATGGGTGTTAGGGGAGTACAGCTAAATAAAAAATTGTCATGTTCAATAAATAGTTATAACTGCCTTTGGGGGAAAGTTCATTTGGAGAGTACAAAGAGAGTGCAATTATGCAGGGAAAGGAAGCCCCCAGAATTGGAGCCTGCCCCCAAATCCCCAAAGGATTGTGGGGTGAGGCAGACACAGGGAAAAGGTCACCATAGTGAGAGGTACCTCAGTGTGAGTCCAATGGAACAGCAAAAGCCATGCTGAAAGCTATCAGTAGCAAACAAGCCACCCTCCTACCACTCCATTGCACCCCAACACCCTGGGAAATAACACCACCTAGTATTTATGTAGGGCTTTAAGGTTTGCAAAGCATTTACAAATATTATCTTGTTTTACCCTTACAACAACCCTAGGTGGTAGGTGCTATTATTATCCCTATTTTACAAGTGAGGAAACTGAGGTAGACAGCAGTAAGGTAATTTACCCCGGGCCACATAGTGTCATAGTGACATGGATTTGAACTCTTATTTTTCTATCCACTGAAACACCCAGCATTACTTCCATCTCTGTCCATCTGTTTCAACTTTGGAAACTGAAGCAGATCAGGGAGAAAAATGTCTTTTCATTGACAAGCAATTCCTTAGGATCTGAACATTTTGCTTTAAAAATCTCTCCAGAGTCACCCAATATTTTTATAGAGACCCTTTCCTCTTGCAATTCGTGAAAGCAGAGGTAGGGGTTTAAGAGGAGAGGGGTTTTGCTACACACACACACACACACACCCCCAGCTCATAGCTTGCTCAAACCCCTTGCTCTAAGCCCCTCCTATTAGGTTTGTCTGAAGAACCTGTAACCGGCTGAGAAGGGGGTTGTTCTAGAACCAGTCTTCACACATTAATGAAGAAGTGAGGCAATTTATGTGCATCAGTCAGCTTAGTGTAACCAGGTAATTGTCTCATTCTGCTTGACTAGCACAGACCTGCCCTGTGACTGGGTCTGGTGAGATTCAGGGCCACAAGATTTCTCCAAGTCTTCCCATTTGCTTATCGCTCCAGTTCAGCCCACCTGACTAAGTACTAGGAGGAGGGAGAACGGTTGTTTTTTTGGTTTTGATTTTTGGTTGAAAGAATGCAGAGGGGGGCAATCCCATGAAGTCTTCTATTATTAACGAACAACAGGGTGAGAGCAGAATGCCTTGTTTTTAGGCATCACTCCCAGGGCAGCTGGAAAAACTTCATGGGACCAAATTCATGCCAGGATCTAAGCCGCCCCCCTCATCCCACCACTAAGATTCACACAACCAAAGTGCTCTGCCTTCTACATGGAGGAAGTCTCCCCCTTCCCAGTCAAACAGAACATGTTCCACCCAGACTGGTTCCCCAAAAAGAGAGAGGTCGTAGCCCTGCTTTCTATTTTCCGGGGGAGGGGAATTGCTTGAGGTTCGCACACTTTTCAAGGCCTCTCAGCCCACAAAGGGGTCTCCAGGGGCTGCCACTCCAGCAGGTGATTTTTTTCCCAGGGTGATGCGGAAGGACCCTCTAGGGCGAATTTGAGTAGCAACTCTGCTGTGCCCCGCACCCCTCCATTCCACACACACACGCCCCGCACCCCTAAACCAAAAAGCCCACGTCCAGCCCGAGTCAATTCTCTCCCGCTTGGCTCATACTCTAGGGAGGATCAAAGGACCCAGGGCGGGGGCCACTCACACAGAGAGCCCAGGCGCTGGCGCCCCTTCTCTTTTTCTCCCGGGCTAGAGGCAACCGGCTCTTTACCTGCGGTCCAAGAAAGGGGTCAGGGTGTGGAAAGTCTCCCAAACTGCCCTCCTCCAATTTGGAAGCCAGTTTGGCCAGGGGGCAAGCTCCCGAAAGGGGATGGGCTCGAGCGCTTCCCTGGGAATGGGATGCCATGGGTCTCCTCCCGCAGCCTGGTGCGTCGGCAGCCTCAGCTTCTCCCTCACCTTTGTATTTCTCCATCGGGTCTGTGCTTGGTGGGCCCTCCCGCGCTGGCTGTCCCGGGAGCCGCTGGGGCGCTCGGACTGAATGGGGCCGGGAGAAATTCGGGCGCTCCGATTCCCACTTCGGCTCCCCGCTCCCAGCTCCTAGTTCCCTCTGGCTCTGGAGACTTCTCGTTCCCCTTCGTCTCAGCTGGCCCCTCCCAGCAAGGTCACGCCCAGCCGCTATACCCGCAGGAGCTGCTTGCCCTGCTCGGTTCCCTGAAGCCGCCCTGGCAAGCGCGCCGCGGGGGTCCCTGCCCGGGCGGCTGCGACCGCTGCTACTGCCCACGCCCTTCTCGCGTGGCTGAAACTCCACAGGACACAAGGGACGGGCGAGGCGGAACGGGGAGGAGAGGGGCGGGCTGCAGACAGATTGTCTCTTCTTAAACACACACACACACACACACACACACACACACACACACACACACACACTTCTGAGATTTCTCAAAGTCTGAGGTCATAGAGGGCTGCTGGAAACCACTGCGGAATGACTGGGAGCCGATGGGAGGGTTACAGGGAGATTCCCAAAATCCTGGTAGAAGGAACGAGAAAAAACAATTAAGAAAAAGTCGACCCAGGTGACCCACACCCTGGCCCTAATGCTTTCTCCACTAAGCAAGCCTAGGGCTCCTTTACATTTCCACCTTTGGAGCAGGTATTTGTGTGTAACACTTCTCTCTCCTGCTAAGCTCTAAGCCTCTACTTTCTCCCACACCACACTGCCTCGAACATCCCAGGTGCTCTATGAAGGGCTGTCGAAGTGGGTTGAACTAAAAACCCATTTAAGCTCTGAATGTTTTCTCCACAATACATTTCCCTTCTCAATCATTTGAGATTTAGCCCTTAATTGCATCGTGGGATCATAGCTTGAGAAAGTTGGAAGAGACATTGGAGGTAATTTAGTACAACCTTGTTTTACAGAGAAAGAAACCGAAGCCCATCAAGGTGAAATGACCTGCCTCGAACAAGTGCCGGGGTCAAGATTCAAACTCAGGCCCTCTAACACCAAATTCAATCCTTTCCCTTACCTCCCCCTCTGAACTATATGCCCTAGACATCATACTGAAATAGACACTGGCTTCCTATAGGCGATTTCCTGCTTTCCAGCTTCCTCTGGAGATGATCTCTGAGGGCCTTGTGGATAGAAAGCTACATTTGTAGTCAGGCCCGGATTCAAATCCTAAATGATGCCGTTTAGGGGTTCAGGGGTGCTGGGACCCCAAAATCACAACACGTGGGTCCTGCCCGAAAGAATTCGACCCCAGCCTTCTTTCAGTCAAAAACAGGGTTTATTAGAACATCTGTCATATTGGGCAGACTCTTAAGGAGTTAGAACATGAATGAGCAGTGGCTAGATTATAAGAATCTGAGCATCTTAGTGGAGACAAGATGGACCTTATATACAGAAAGACTATGGGAGGGATCTCGGAGTGGCCAAGTAGTCTATGAGGTAACAGAATTCCAGGGACCTGGACCACGTGGCCAAGAGAGAAATGGCCTGGGGCCATAGGGAAGTGCACAATGAAAAGTCAGTTGATGGGATTATAGCCTCAGGGGAACACCAGAGATTTGGCCACGTGGGAAAATCCAGGGTTTTTCCTTTCTGAGGCCCAGATCCCAACCCCATGAGCAAGTCACTTAAATTTTCCAAGGCTCTCTCCTCATCTGCAAATTTAGAGATAGATAACACTTTTAGTCTTACCTCATCGAACTATGAGACTGAAGTGATACTGAAGTACTTTTAAAGTTTTAATGCAGTGATATTTGTGTGAATTAGGGACAGGGGATAGAGTGCTGGGCCTGGAGTCAGAAAGACTGGAGTTCAAATCTGCCCTCAGACATTTATTAGTTGTGTGACCCTGGGTAAGTCACTTAAATCTGTTTGCCTCAGTTTCCTCATCTGTAAAATGAGCTGGAGAAGGAAATGGCAAACCACTCCAGTACTTTTGCCAAGAAAACCTTGAAAGGGGTCATGAAGAGAATCAATGAGAGAAAAACAACAAAAATGTGTAAATTATTATTATTATTGTTATATGTCTGCTCTGAGAAAACTTTTGCAAACCTTAAGATGCTGTGTAACTGTGAGAAATTATAACTAGACACAGATTAAAGAAAGTAGTTGTGAATAACCCCAGGCTTCAAGAATGGCTCTGAATGTCCCTCCTGTCCACTTCCCTGAAATCATAGTAAGTAAAAGAAAGATTATTCTACAAGACAGAAGGATGTGAGCTATAAATCAAATGATATGTTTCTTCTCTAAGCACCATGATGAAACTTTACCATATCTCCATCATCTAACTTTTGCTCTCTTTAGTTATATTTACTCAAAACATAACAATAAATATTGACTCAAGGCTTCTTCACTTGAATTTGCCTAATTTTTTCCCTTTGCTTTTGTTTTTCTTTTCTGGGACATTTGCTCATTCCATCAAGTTTGATGCCTGGGTTCTCTACAAGATTTTCCCTTCCCCCTTTTGGAAGGAGATTCTTTAAAAAGTGTTAAAAATATATATTATAACAAATATATAACATAACATAAATAAATAATACATTAAAATAAATATTTTAAATTAAATTTTGGACACAGCAAAAGTTTCAGTTTTCATACATTTCAAAATTCTACAACTAATGCACAGAAATATTATTACTCCAGTTGCTGATCAAATTATCCTCTCAAATCTAGTTTTTGCCTAGATCAGTATCATCTTAATCATGTCCTAGCCTTCTGCCATTCTGCGCTCTATATTCCCTTCTTAATATGGACTCCACTTAATATGTCATTCCACTTTAGGTTATATAGCTCTTCAATATTTGTCTTTTACGCTGCTTCCTCTCCTTTCTCCCATGGCTAGGATCTTTTATGTTATCTTTTTTAAATCCTTTCTACTTTGTCCTCAGAGACTTAGCAAAGCTCAGACTGTCTCTGTGCTAAAAAAAAAAAAAATCAATCAGTTATGACCAAAAGGAATTGAAGATGGGAATTTACAATCCTTCTAAGAACTACACAAACTCCCACTGTGGGATTGATCTTCAAAATCATTACAATTCCTACCATTAAGCATCCATCTCTATCAGAAGCCTATATAGGTATTTTAACACTTTACCTTCACAGTCTTTTCTAGCAACTTCTTCAATGGGAGGTGATATTCAAAAAGCCTCACTTTGTTGTTGTTTTTCCATCATATCTGACTCTTCATGACCCCTTTTGGGGTTTTCTTGACACAGATACTGGAGTGGTATGCAATTTCCTTCTCCAGCTTATTTCACAGATAACTAAGGCAAAGAGGGTTAAGCAACTTGCACAGGGTCACACAGCTAGTATGTGTCTGAGGTCATTTTTGAACTCACTAAGAAGAGTCTGTCTCCAGACCTGGCACTCTGCCACTCTATCCACTGTGCCACCTAGCTATCCCAAAAACCTCACTACAGGGGCATTTGATATGTCCCAGCCCACTGAAACTAATTTGCAGACCTTAGAGACTGAAACAGAAGTGATAGATTGCCAATGATCCTAAAAAGCAGTAATCCCTTAGCACATTTTGATAGCAGCACCACCTCCTCAGGGCTACTTCTCAACTTTTATTAGCAGATTGGGTCCCTAAAAGACAACTACCTTGAGGCATTAGGTATTCTGTGGGTCCCTAAAACTTTAGCCCACAAGGAAAAAAATAAGCATTTATTAAATGGGCAACATTAAATGTACTACATTAAACAGTACAAATATTTCATTTGATCCTCATAACAATCCTGTAAATAAATTCTATTATTATCTCTACAATGAAGGAAACAGGTAAGGAGAAATTAAATGACTTGCCCAGGGTCACACAGCTAGCAAGCATTTGAGCCTGGATTTGAACTCAGTTCTTCCTGACTCCATGCCCAGTGCTTCATCCATTGCATCACCTAGCTGTCTTCTAAGCCCCAGTTGGTGTTTATTTTTAATAGCAAGCCAGTAGTCACAACTAGCTCAAAATAAGGGTATTTACTGAGATGAGATTGTAGGAACAATGTAACAAAACATTCTTCCCATAAATTTGGGATGTTCTTTCCTGAAGCTACACATAGTAGCCATACATAGTTTCATTGGGCACACACATAGAGTACAATAGAAGAGAGGCAGGCACTTGGACAACTCATACTTCCAGCACTACAGAACCCTGATTTCCTTTCCTTTGACACATCCTGTTTCAAGAAAGGTTAATTCCCTTCCCATCACTCCCCCCTAAAAGAGATTGTTCAGACTTTCACAAGGCAGAACAGTGGATATCTCTATTAATGCCAGTGATTTTCAGTCAAGGGGAATATGAGATTGGGGTTTTTCCCTGCCTGTATTTAAACATAACTTCAGAAAATTATGGAGTGTTAGAGCTAGAATGGACCTTAGAAATCATATAGGTCAACCCCTTTATTTTACATTTGGAGAAATCGAAAACTTTTTAATCTTAAACTTTTAAGATATTATTTTATTTTCCCCTAACTACATATAAAATAATTTTTAACATTAATTTTTAAAAAACAATTCTGAGTTCCAACTTCTCTCCTTTCCTTCTCCCCTCTCTAAGATAGTAAGTAATCTGATGTAGGCTATACATGTGTAATATTGTAAAACATATTTCCACATTAATCACTTTGTGGAAGAAAACTCAAACCAAAAAGAAAGAGAAAAGAGAAAAATTATATTCTTTGGTCTGCATTCAGACTATCAATTTTTTCTCTGAAGGCAGATAGCATTTTTTGTCATGAGTCTGTTGGGATTGTCTTGGATCATTGTTATTGAGGAGAATAGCTAAATCATTCACAGTTGTTCACTGTACATTATTCCTGTTACAGTGTACAATATTCTTCTAGTTCTGCTCACTTCACTCTGCATCAGTTCATGTAAGTCTTTCCAAGTTTTTCTGAAACCATCCTGCCTGTCATTTCTTATGGTGCAATAGTATTCCATCCTAATTATATATCATAGCTTATTCAGCCATTTCCCAATTGATGGGCAACCCCCCAGAAATTAAGAACTATTGAAAGAAAGTGGCTTGCTTGTGGTCACACCCCAATTAAATGGTTAAGACTAAAATGTAGATCTTCTGTGTTCAAATCTAGTATTCTTTTCATTGTTGCTGAGTCATTTCAGTTCTGACTGCATGATCCCATTTGGGATAATCTTGGCAAAGATACTGAAGTGGTTTGCCATTTCCTTCT